TTTCAGTCTGGCTTTAGAACACATCATAGCACAGAGACAGCTCTGGTTAAAGTCACAAATGACCTTCTAATAGCCTCTGACAAGGGACGTGTCTCTATTCTTGTTTTGCTCGATCTCAGTGCTGCATTTGATACTATCGACCATGATATCTTATTGCAAAGACTAGAGCACTTAGTTGGCATACAGGGAACTGCTTTAGACTGGTTTAGGTCCTATCTATCTGAACGCTCTCAGTTTGTACGTGTCAATGATGAATCTTCCACGCAAACCAAAGTTAGCCATGGAGTGCCACAGGGCTCAGTGCTCGGACCTATTTTGTTCACATTATATATGCTTCCGTTAGGCAATATTATAAGGAATCATTCTGTAAACTTTCATTGTTATGCGGATGATACTCAACTATATTTATCAATCAAGCCTGATGAAATTAATCATCTAAATAAAATTCAAGACTGCCTTAAGGACTTAAAAACGTGGATGACCTTAAACTTTTTGATGTTAAACACGACCAAAACTGAAGTTATTGTACTTGGCCCGAAGAATCTACGAAACAAATTATCTAAGGATATACTAACTATGGATGGCATTAATTTGGCCTCCAGTGAGACTGTAAGGAATCTTGGTGTTATATTTGATCAGGATTTATCCTTTAACGCCCACATAAAATCAATTTCAAGGACCGCCTACTTCCATCTACGTAACATTGCAAAAATCAGGCATATCTTGCCTCAAAACGATGCAGAGAAACTAGTCCATGCATTTGTTACTTCAAGGCTGGATTATTGTAACTCTTTATTATCAGGGTGTACCAAGAAGTCAGTCAAGTCGCTTCAGCTGATTCAAAATGCTGCGGCTCGTGTACTAACCAGAGTTAGGAAAAGGGACCACATTACTCCTGTTCTGGCTGCCTTACACTGGCTCCCTATAGAACACAGGATAGAATTTAAAATTCTTCTTCTCGCCTACAAAGCCCTTAATGGGCAGGCGCCATCTTACCTTAAAGAACTCATTATACCCTACTGTCCTACTAGGGCATTGCGTTCCAAGAATGCAGGGTTGTTGGTTGTTCCTAGAGTCTCTAAAAGTACAATGGGAGCCAGAGCCTTTTCTTATCAAGCTCCACATTTGTGGAATCAGCTTCCAGTTTGTGTTCGGGCGGCAGACACCCTATCCGTTTTTAAGAGTGCGCTTAAGACCTTCCTTTTTGATAAAGCTTATAGTTAGGGCTGATTAGATCCAGCCCCTAGTTTTGCTGATATAGGCTTAGTTTGTCGGGGGACATCTTACTTCTTCCTTCTCTCTGTCTATACCTGTGTACTCTCATGTTCCGATTAACCCAGCTTCCCCAAATGTCTTTCTTTTTGGTGTCTATATACGCCGGGATCCGGAGTCATGGATGATCCTGCGCTCCTCTGTCCTGGATCGCGAGCCCTGGATCTTGAGTCGTGGCTGTGGTCCTGGATCATAGGTCCTGGATGGATATCCTCGTGGATTCATCTTACTATTATACACACATGCATTTCCAAACATTTGGACTACCTATGTTGCAAATGTATTATCTTTTCAATTTACACACGGCATCTATTGCACGTCTGTCCGTCCTGGGAGAGGGATCCCTCCTCTGTTGCTCTCCCTGAGGTTTCTCCCATTTTTCCCTTTAAACTGTGGGTTTTCCCCGGAAGTTTTTCCTTGTACGATGTGAGGGTCTAAGGACAGAGGGTGTCGTATTGTCATACTGATATTTTGTACAAACTGTAAAGTCCACTGAGACAAATGTAACATTTGTGATATTGGGCTATATAAATAAACATTGATTGATTGATCCATGGAAAAGGGCTGAAAATGAAAAAAAGTATCCGAAAATAGTGCATCATGAGCCCGCAAGAGTCCCCTGTCAACTCCCCTTGCATTCCTCCAGAGTCAGAAAAAGTATGTTATCTTTTGGGAGAACCAGAGGAAAGGGGTGAAAATGGAGAAATTGTATCCCAAAATAGTGTCTCTTAAGGCAGGTAGAGTCCCCTGACAACTCTCCTTACATTCCTCCAGATTCAGAAAAAGTATGTTAACTTTTTGGAGAACTATGAAACCGGGCCTAATGTATCCAAAAATAGTGCATCATAATGCAGGTAGAGTCCCATCAAACTCCCCTTGCATTCCTCCAGAGGCCAGTTCAAAAACTTAAAGTTTGGTAAGAACCATGATTGGGGGTCCTCCAGGCAACAATTGTATCCGAGCCAAAGCACTCATGTAGCGGACACATTCCTCCATGATGTGAAACAGCCGTTTTTTTTTCTGAGTCCTCTCAAAAACCGGGTTTCCGATTTCGTGCAGATGGAAGCTTGAAAAACATGAATGAATTTTTTTGACGGAGGAAGGGAGGTCTCGATTCCCCTCTCTGTTGTAAAATGCAACGGGGGAGTGGAAAAGTGTCCGGGGCTTCCGCCCGAAGCGCCGAAGACTTGAGCTTTTCGGAGCCCCTCCTCCGTTGGCACAATTTTTTTAAACTTCATTTTTGATTATTTTAAGATATAATTGACCGTTTTCTTTACTTTTTTCGGCTTTCCACGGGTGGGGGTGCATGACAGGCCACCTATGAGCTCCAAAATTTGCATGGAACCTCCGGGAATTATGGGCTAAGCTCCATAAACTGACAAAGTCACCCAGAAATGTCACTTTAATAGCCCAAAAATATATAATACAAATACATTTAAATAGTAAAAGGTACAATTGTGCTCCTAATTACCCGGAATTTGATTGATATAGCCCCATGATAGTGAATAAAAATCATTTTCATGGAAACAATTTTTAAAACGCCTGATTAATATGTTTGTAATGCTGGCAGCAGGTGCACTGCTGTAAGCAGGGTCTCACACTCAAAGGCACACAGGCAGAGATCCAGGGTGATGCACATGGCTTTCTTACCCAGGAATAAGTGTGTGAAAGCTGGGTAAAAGTGATGTGAACAGAGGGAGAGAGCAGCCAGAGAGTTAGCGGCCTGTGAGAGCCACAGAGCGCACCCAGAGGACAGGCTGTTTCACAGCACTATGTAACCCAGGAAAGCAGCTTGAATCCTGGGTACGTCAGTGTTAAAAGTGACTTAAACTGTTTTAATTCAAATGTGCATTTCACAGGCACATAGGCAGAGATCCAGGGTGATGCACATGGCTTTCTTACCCGGGAATAAGTGTTTGAACGCTGGGTAAAAGTGCTGTGAATACAGGGAGAGAGCAGCCAGAGAGAAGCTGCCTGTGAGAGCCACAGAGCGCACCCAGAGGACAGGCTGTTTCACAGCACTATGTAACCCAGGAAAGCAGCTTGAATCGTGGGTATGTCAGTGTTAAAAGTGCCTTAAACTGGTTTAATTCAAATGTGCATTTGACTGCATAAACAGCCGGTCATATGGACAGGAATCTGTCCATTTCGTCCACATTTGACTCATGAAATGTACAAGAAGATAAGTACAGCAGAGTCAATGCTGTTAGCAGGGTCTCACACTTACAGTCACACAGGCAGAGATCCAGGGTGATGCACATGGCTTTCCTACCCAGGAATAAGTGTTTTAAAGGCGGGGAAAGTGTTCCTGCAGCCCCCCCATAACGGTAATAATGATTAGAAATCATTTCCAGGGCAGAAAGCTGTTTTTAAAAGTGAAAAAACTATTTTAAACCGTTGAAAAAGCACAAAGTGATTTGAGTGCAGTTCTCATGTGTCCCCACAGGAGGGCGCATCAGCCAACCTATTTCTGGCCCCTCACAGAGCCCCAAAGGACGGACTAAGCAGCTCCAGCATCTCTCCCTGACATGCATACTTCCATAACCTCGCACACCGTGAGTCCCCGGGCCCCCGGACTTAAGCACTCCCCCACGGACTAAACCCAGATGGTCACACCCTACAGAACCTCATGCCCCTGGTAATCTTAAAGGGGGGTGGATTTTGCAGTGCTTTACCGTCCGCCCATCGGCATCCATATTCGGCCTTATTCACAGCACCACCCACCCTCCTGTGGAGGATGTTCTCATGCCCCTGGTAACATTTAAAGGTGGTGGATTTTGTGGTGATTTACTGTCCGCCCACCAGCATCAATATTCGGCCTTCTTCACGGCACCCCCCCTGTGCTGGAGGTTCACACTTTAACTGTTTTGTCATATTTCGTCTTTCCACGGGTGGGTGTGCCTGGCAAAGCTGTGTACCCAAACTCAAGCACTCTCACTCTGACTAAACACATAAGGACATCCGGGTAAGACCTCCGGAGCCTCCAGCTGCTTCTGTTCACTTTCTACTGAGAGCTATTCAACAGCTTTCTGTGTCTGTAGCTTCTACATCCTCTCACTCTTCATCTACTCACTCCTCATCCTCTCACCCTTCATCTTCTCACTCTTCATCACCTCCTCCCTGCTGAGATTCATCATGGCTGAGGGACCCGATGAGTGAGACACTAGACGGTTAAAGGTGGGGTAGGTCATTTTGGAGAAACCAGCTCGAGTGCGCTAGAATTTGAAAATACACAGCCGGAAGAAATCTGCCACTTCCTCACAGAGCCCCTCCTCCAACACACACAAACGCGCACATGACCAATGAGGGCACGAGATAAGTTTGTGCACAGATGGAAGGCTGACAGGCAGGTAGGCCATCCAGTTACTTTAGCCGGCTCAGATGATTGGTCGTGCTTTCTACAGTACCACGGCTTCCAGAGATGACATGTTTTGTATGGATTTGTTGTCAAAGCACTTGTTAAGAGCATTCCATGGAATATAACAAAAAGTGTATCTCGATCCGGTTTCTCTAACGTACCTACCCCACCTTTAAGTACATGTTAAAAGTTTAAATGAATATACTTTAAATCAAGGGTTAAAGTCCTTCATTTACTGATGTTTTACTTGTTATTATTTTGGTTACGGTTGTTAATTTACAGAAAACAAAAACATTTGAAATGTATGAGAAGAAAATACTAAAATGCGTAATTTTACGACACTAAAACAGAGCGCTTGTTTCGTCCACAGGCGATGCAGGGCAGCGACTGTATCTTCGAGGCGGTGGAGCAGCAGGACCTGGACTCGGTGCAGATTCTTCTCTACCAGTTCTCAGCCGAGGAGCTGGACCTGAACACCCCGAACAGCCAGGGGCTAACTCCTCTGGACATCTCCATCATGACCAACAACACGCCCATTGCCAAGCTGCTGCTGAGGGCCGGAGGCAGGGAGAGCCCCCACTGTGAGTAACACTGATTAATACATAATATATATATATATATATATATAAAGAACTACAGCACGGTCACATGACTTCACATCACCACCGCTAAGCTAAAGGAGGCTAATGTTGGGCTATAAAGGAACTACAGCACGGTCACATGACTTCACGTCACCACCGCTAAGCTAAAGGCGGCTAATGTTGGGCTATAAAGGAACTACAGCACGGTCACATGACTTCACGTCACTACCGCTAAGCTAAAGGTGGCTAATGTTGGGCTATAAAGGAACTACAGCACGGTCACATGACTTCACGTCACCATCGCTAAGCTAAAGGTGGCTAATGTTGGGCTATAAAGGAACTACAGCACGGTCACATGACTTCACGTTACCACCGCTAAGCTAAAGGTGGCTAATGTTGGGCTATAAAGGAACTACAGCACGGTCACATGACTTCACGTCACCACCGCTAAGCTAAAGGTGGCTAATGTTGGGCTATAAAGGAACTACAGCACAGTCACATGACTTCACGTCACCACCGCTAAGCTAAAGGTGGCTAATGTTGGGCTATAAAGGAACTACAGCACGGTCACATGACTTCACGTCACTACCGCTAAGCTAAAGGTGGCTAATGTTGGGCTATAAAGGAACTACAGCACGGTCACATGACTTCACGACGCCACCGCTAAGCTAAAGGTGGCTAATGTTGGGCTATAAAGGAACTACAGCACGGTCACATGACTTCAAGACACCACCGCTAAGCTAAAGGTGGCTAATGTTGGGCTATAAAGGAACTACAGCACGGTCACATGACTTCACGACACCACCGCTAAGCTAAAGGTGGCTAATGTTGGGCTATAAAGGAACTACAGCACAATCACATGACTTCACGTCACCATCGCTAAGCTAAAGGTGGCTAATGTTGGGCTATAAAGGAATTACAGCACGGTCACATGACTTCACGTCACCACCGCTAAGCTAAAGGTGGCTAATGTTGGGCTATAAAGGAACTACAGCACGGTCACATGACTTCACGTCACCACCGCTAAGCTAAAGGAGGCTAATGTTGGGCTATAAAGGAACTACAGCACGGTCACATGACTTCACGTCTCCACCGCTAAGCTAAAGGAGGCTAATGTTGTGCTATAAAGGAACTACAGCACGGTCACATGACTTCATGTCACCACCGCTAAGCTAAAGGTGGCTAATGTTGGGCTGTAAAGGAACTACAGCACAGTCACATGACTTCACGTCTCTACCGCTAAGCTAAAGGAGGCTAATGTTGGGCTATAAAGGAACTACAGCACGGTCACATGACTTCACGTCACCACCGCTAAGCTAAAGGCGGCTAATGTTGTGCTATAAAGGAACTACAGCACGGTCACATGACTTCACGTCACCACCGCTAAGCTAAAGGAGGCTAATGTTGGGCTATAAAGGAACTACAGCACGGTCACATGACTTCACGTCACCACCGCTAAACTAAAGGTGGCTAATGTTGGGCTATAAAGGAACTACAGCACGGTCACATGACTTCATGTCGCCACTGCTAAGCTAAAGGTGGCTAATGTTGGGCTGTAAAGGAACTACAGCACGGTCACATGACTTCACGTCTCTACCGCTAAGCTAAAGGAGGCTAATGTTGGGCTATAAAGGAACTACAGCACGGTCACATGACTTCACGTCTCCACCGCTAAGCTAAAGGAGGCTAATGTTGTGCTATAAAGGAACTACAGCACGGTCACATGACTTCATGTCACCACCGCTAAGCTAAAGGTGGCTAATGTTGGGCTGTAAAGGAACTACAGCACGGTCACATGACTTCACGTCTCTACCGCTAAGCTAAAGGAGGCTAATGTTGGGCTATAAAGGAACTACAGCACGGTCACATGACTTCACGTCACCACCGCTAAGCTAAAGGCGGCTAATGTTGTGCTATAAAGGAAGTACAGCAGGGTCACATGACTTCACGTCACCACCGCTAAGCTAAAGGAGGCTAATGTTGGGCTATAAAGGAACTACAGCACGGTCACATGACTTCACGTCACCACCGCTAAGCTAAAGGAGGCTAATGTTGGGCTATAAAGGAACTACTGTACGGTCACATGACTTCACGTCTCCACCGCTAAGCTAAAGGAGGCTAATGTTGTGCTATAAAGGAACTACAGCACGGTCACATGACTTCATGTCACCACCGCTAAGCTAAAGGTGGCTAATGTTGGGCTGTAAAGGAACTACAGCACGGTCACATGACTTCACGTCTCTACCGCTAAGCTAAAGGAGGCTAATGTTGGGCTATAAAGGAACTACAGCACGGTCACATGACTTCACGTCACCACCGCTAAGCTAAAGGCGGCTAATGTTGTGCTATAAAGGAAGTACAGCAGGGTCACATGACTTCACGTCACCACCGCTAAGCTAAAGGAGGCTAATGTTGGGCTATAAAGGAACTACAGCACGGTCACATGACTTCACGTCACCACCGCTAAGCTAAAGGTGGCTAATGTTGGGCTATAAAGGAACTACAGCACGGTCACATGACTTCACGTCACCACTGCTATGCTAAAGGTGGCTAATGTTGGGCTATAAAGAAATTACAGCACGGTCACATGACTTCACGTCACCACCGCTAAGCTAAAGGTGGCTAATGTTGGGCTATAAAGGAACTACAGCACGGTCACATGACTTCACGTCACCACCGCTAAGCTAAAGGAGGCTAATGTTGGGCTATAAAGGAACTACAGCACGGTCACATGACTTCACGTCTCCACCGCTAAGCTAAAGGAGGCTAATGTTGTGCTATAAAGGAACTACAGCACGGTCACATGACTTCATGTCACCACCGCTAAGCTAAAGGTGGCTAATGTTGGGCTGTAAAGGAACTACAGCACAGTCACATGACTTCACGTCTCTACCGCTAAGCTAAAGGAGGCTAATGTTGGGCTATAAAGGAACTACAGCACGGTCACATGACTTCACGTCACCACCGCTAAGCTAAAGGCGGCTAATGTTGTGCTATAAAGAAACTACAGCACGGTCACATGACTTCACGTCACCACCGCTAAGCTAAAGGAGGCTAATGTTGGGCTATAAAGGAACTACAGCACGGTCACATGACTTCACGTCACCACCGCTAAGCTAAAGGTGGCTAATGTTGGGCTATAAAGGAACTACAGCACGGTCACATGACTTCATGTCGCCACTGCTAAGCTAAAGGTGGCTAATGTTGGGCTGTAAAGGAACTACAGCACGGTCACATGACTTCACGTCTCTACCGCTAAGCTAAAGGAGGCTAATGTTGGGCTATAAAGGAACTACAGCACGGTCACATGACTTCACGTCTCCACCGCTAAGCTAAAGGAGGCTAATGTTGTGCTATAAAGGAACTATAGCACGGTCACATGACTTCATGTCACCACCGCTAAGCTAAAGGTGGCTAATGTTGGGCTGTAAAGGAACTACAGCACGGTCACATGACTTCACGTCTCTACCGCTAAGCTAAAGGAGGCTAATGTTGGGCTATAAAGGAACTACAGCACGGTCACATGACTTCACGTCACCACCGCTAAGCTAAAGGCGGCTAATGTTGTGCTATAAAGGAAGTACAGCAGGGTCACATGACTTCACGTCACCACCGCTAAGCTAAAGGAGGCTAATGTTGGGCTATAAAGGAACTACAGCACGGTCACATGACTTCACATCACCACCGCTAAGCTAAAGGAGGCTAATGTTGGGCTATAAAGGAACTACAGCACGGTCACATGACTTCACGTCTCCACCGCTAAGCTAAAGGAGGCTAATGTTGTGCTATAAAGGAACTACAGCACGGTCACATGACTTCATGTCACCACCGCTAAGCTAAAGGTGGCTAATGTTGGGCTGTAAAGGAACTACAGCACGGTCACATGACTTCACGTCTCTACCGCTAAGCTAAAGGAGGCTAATGTTGGGCTATAAAGGAACTACAGCACGGTCACATGACTTCACGTCACCACCGCTAAGCTAAAGGCGGCTAATGTTGTGCTATAAAGGAAGTACAGCAGGGTCACATGACTTCACGTCACCACCGCTAAGCTAAAGGAGGCTAATGTTGGGCTATAAAGGAACTACAGCACGGTCACATGACTTCACGTCACCACCTCTAAGCTAAAGGCGGCTAATGTTGGGCTATAAAGGAACTACAGCATGGTCACATGACTTCACGTCACCACCGCTAAGCTAAAGGAGGCTAATGTTGGGCTGTAAACGTTGTTATATGAGAAACGCTCCAACATAACTCTGAAAGCAGAGCTGTGTCCTTCTACTGATCTGAGGTCATTTTAGTCTCCAACAATGAACCCAATTTCCGCCCGATGGTCTGCAGAACTCGATGAAAAGGAGCCGAGTGACCCTCAGAAACATCATTACCTGCAGAGCGCGGCCACCTGGAGGGAAATGTCAAGAAACAAGTTTCACACAAGATAAATGTGAAGGGTCACCGAGCTGCAGACTCACAAAGAAAGGGAATATCTCTGCACTCTGAGAACCTTCAAAGCAATATTTGTGTGTGTGTGTGTGTGTGTGTGTGTGTGTGTGTGTGTGTGTGTGTGTGTGTGTGTGTGTGTGTGTGTGTGTGTGTGTGTGTGTGTGTGTGTGTGTGTGTGTGTGTGTGTGTGTGTGTGTGTGTGTGTGTGTGTGTGTGTGTGTGTGTGTAGGGGGTCTCCTCACGACAGTCGTACAATCCCATCGTTGTAAACAAACACAGTTAAATCTCTGCAGCTCATTCCTCAAGAGCCAAGTCAATCACTGTGTGTGTGTGTTAATTTATGAGTCCCCGCAGGTTTATATTTAGGCGTCAGTCAGACGAGAAACTAATTTACAGCCTTTTCAATTAGCAGCCGTTAGCAGTCGCTAGCAGCCGTTAGCAGCTAGCGACAGGAAGTGACACCTTCAGAATAAAGTGCAGAGAGGCAGCGTTCACCTTTAGTCATTATGTCGTTTAAATTAAAGGTGAGAAGTGACTGAACGGTCAATCTGATTGGTCAATGCAACAGTTTCATTGCTATTTGTTTTAAGCTTCAAGGTTGACTCAGGGCAGATGTGTTACCTAGCAACACATTCTGACTGAAATGTGATTGAAAGCTCCAACATTGCCAACAATTACTGGACGCAGCGCGACACAGAGAACATCTATGAACTGAAGATTGTATTGTATTCCACGTGTACTTCACATGTATTCCACGTGTACTTCACATATATTCCACGTGCACTTCACATGTATTCCATGTGTACTTCACACGTATTCCACGTGCACTTCACATGTATTTCCCGTTTACTTCACATGTATTCCACGTGTACTTCACATGTATCTCCCGTGTACTTCACACGTATTCCACGTGTACTTCACATGTATTTCCCGTTTACTTCACATGTATTCCACGTGTACTTCACATGTATTCCACGTGCACTTCACATGTATTTCCCGTGTACTTTACATGTATTTCCCGTGTACTTCACATGTATTTTCCGTGTACTTCACATGTATTTCACGTGTACTTCACATGTATTTCCCGTGTACTTCACATGTATTTCCCGTGTACTTCCCATGTATTTTACGTGTACTTCACATGTATTCCACGTGTACTTCACATGTATTCCACGTGTACTTCACACGTATTCCATGTGCACTTCACATGTATTTCCTGTGTACTTCACATGTATTTCCCATGTACTTCACACGTATTTCCTGTGTACTTCACACGTATTCCACGTGCACTTCACATGTATTCCACGTGTACTTCACATGTATTTCCCGTGTACTTCACATGTATTCCACGTGTACTTCACACGTATTCCACGTGTACTTCACACGTATTTCCCGTGTACTTCACATGTATTCCACGTGTACTTCACATGTATTTCACGTGTACTTCACATGTATTTCACGTGTACTTCACATGTATTCCACGTGCACTTCACATGTATTTCACGTGTACTTCACATGTATTTCCCGTGTACTTCACATGTATTTCCCGTGCACTTCACATGTATTTCACGTGTACTTCAGATGTATTCCACGTGTACTTCACATGTATTTCCCGTGTACTTCACATGTATTTCCCGTGCACTTCACATGTATTTCACGTGTACTTCACATGTATTTCTCGTGTACTTCAGAGGTATTCCACGTGTACTTCACATGTATTTCACGTGTACTTCACATGTATTTCACGTGTACTTCACATGTATTTCACGTGTACTTCACATGTATTTCACGTGTACTTCACATGTATTCCACGTGCACTTCACATGTATTTCACGTGTACTTCACATGTATTTCCCGTGTACTTCACATGTATTTCCCGTGCACTTCACATGTATTTCACGTGTACTTCACATGTATTTCTCGTGTACTTCACATGTATTCCACGTGTACTTCACATGTATTTCACGTGTACTTCACATGTATTTCACGTGTACTTCACATGTATTCCACGTGTACTTCACATGTATTTCACGTGTACTTTTACATTACATTGCATTTAGCTGACGCTTTTGTCCAAAGCGACTTACAATAAGTACATTCGACCAGGAAGACACAACCTTGAAGAAAACAGAATCATATAAGTATATCAGGTTTCATAGAGCCAAACATTTCAAGTGCTACTCAACTGGCTTTAGGTAATCCAGTCCTTTATTGGTATAAAAGTGCTTCACATGTATTCCACGTGTACTTCACATGTATTCCACGTGTACTTCACATGTAGTTCCTGTGTAACAATCGAATGTCTCGCTGTGTCTCTGTTTAAGTATTGGAGCGTTTCCTCACCTTCTCCCTCTCTGTTTCCTGTGCGTGTGTTTGCAGTTGTGAGCGTGGAGGCTCGGGAGGCTCTGATTGGCTCCCTGGTGCAGGAGGCGGAGCTCCGAGCAGCTGATCTGTCCTCTCAGGCTCAGAGGGAGGGTCTCTCTCTGGAGGCCTGTCAGAAGGACAAGACCCTGAAAGCCTGGGAGTGGAGGAGCAAACTGTACCGCCGCATGAGGGCCGGATTCCTGCACGCACGTCAGTACATCTATTATTTATATTTTATTATAATGTATTTATTTTATTTTTTATTGCGTGCATATGCACGTACGTGCGTGTGTGTGCGTGCGTGTGTGTGTGCGTAAGTGGGTGCGTGTGCGTGCGTACGTGCGTGCGACACCTGACCTCTGCTATGCAGGTTAATTATTTAAGTGTGTTGCAGCTATAAAACATGTTCTAGTTGGAAAGTCCATCACAGAGAAACTGCATCAAGAGCTCCTCTGATCGAGTCCATCACACAACACAGAGAAACTGCATCAAGAGCTCCTCTGATCGAGTCCATCACACAACACAGAGAGACTGCATCAAGAGCTCCTCTGATCGAGTCCATCACACAACACAGAGAGACTGCATCAAGAGCTCCTCTGATCGAGTCCATCACACAACACAGAGAGACTGCATCAAGAGCTCCTCTGATCGAGTCCATCACACAACACAGAGAGACTGCATCAAGAGCTCCTCTGATCGAGTCCATCACACAACACAGAGAGACTGCATCAAGAGCTCCTCTGATCGAGTCCATCACACATCACAGAGAGACTGCATCAAGAGCTCCTCTGATCGAGTCCATCACACAACACAGAGAGACTGCATCAAGAGCTCCTCTGATCGAGTCCATCACACAACACAGAGAGACTGCATCAAGAGCTCCTCTGATCGAGTCCATCACACATCACAGAGAGACTGCATCAAGTGCTCCTCTGATCGAGTCCTCACACATCACAGAGAGACTGCATCAAGTGCTCCTCTGATCGAGTCCTCACACATCAAGGAGAGACTGCATCAAGTGCTCCTCTGATCGAGTCCATCACACAACACAGAGAGACTGCATCAAGAGCTCCTCTGATCGAGTCCATCACACAACACAGAGAGACTGCATCAAGAGCTCCTCTGATCGAGTCCATCACACATCACAGAGAGACTGCATCAAGAGCTCCTCTGATCGAGTCCCTCACACATCGAGGAGAGACTGCATCAAGTGCTCCTCTGATCGAGTCCTCACACATCACAGAGAGACTGCATCAAGTGCTCCTCTGATCGAGTCCCTCACACAACACAGAGAGACTGCATCAAGAGCTCCTCTGATCGAGTCCATCACACAACACAGAGAGACTGCATCAAGTGCTCCTCTGATCGAGTCCCTCACACATCGAGGAGAGACTGCATCAAGTGCTCCTCTGATCGAGTCCTCACACATCGAGGAGAGACTGCATCAAGAGCTCCTCTGGTCGAGTCCTCACACATCACAGAGAGACTGCATCAAGTGCTCCTCTGATCGAGTCCCTCACACATCGAGGAGAGACTGCATCAAGTGCTCCTCTGATCGAGTCCCTCACACATCGAGGAGAGACTGCATCAAGTGCTCCTCTGATCGAGTCCCTCACACATCGAGGAGAGACTGCATCAAGTGCTCCTCTGATCGAGTCCTCACACATCGAGGAGAGACTGCATCAAGTGCTCCTCTGATCGAGTCCTCACACATCACAGAGAGACTGCATCAAGAGCTCCTCTGATCGAGTCCATCACACAACACAGAGAGACTGCATCAAGAGCTCCTCTGATCGAGTCCATCACACATCACAGAGAGACTGCATCAAGAGCTCCTCTGATCGAGTCCATCACACAACACAGAGAGACTGCATCAAGAGCTCCTCTGATCGAGTCCATCACACAACACAGAGAGACTGCATCAAGAGCTCCTCTGATCGAGTCCATCACACAACACAGAGAGACTGCATCAAGAGCTCCTCTGATCGAGTCCATCACACAACACAGAGAGACTGCATCAAGAGCTCCTCTGATCGAGTCCATCACACATCACAGAGAGACTGCATCAAGAGCTCCTCTGATCGAGTCCATCACACAACGAGACGAGAAGAAACAGAAATATGCAAAGTGGCACAAAAACAGAAAACAAGATGCAAAGTGAGACATAAATGATGCCAAACGAGATGCGTTATCACGACCTCAAGAAGTCCAGAAAATAAGACACAACGCGAGAGGCACCGCGAGAGGCACCGCGAGAGGCACCGCGCATGAAAACCAGCCACTAAAAACATTATTAAAAGAACTCCCAAGAGACAAAGAGAGAGCAACGATGACACCAGAGAGACGGTTAGAGAAATGAATAAATATAATGAGATTGTTGCGAGAGAGCTGATCAGATGTATTTCTGGTCAGATCTCAGATAGTGATTATAGTAATACTGTTCCTCCAGGAAACAGACTGTGATGAGACTGATGAGAGACACCTGAAGCTCTGCAGCCGGTCAGTGAATCACATCATCACTTTATCATTCAAATAAACTCTAATATCATTTCAAACCTTTATTTAACCAGATTGGTCGCATTGAGATCATAGATCTCTTTTCCAAGGGAGACCTGCAGCATATAGGTTCCACATGAAACATAAAACAATAAAGGATATCATACATTATATTTACAGGATACATTTACATAGTTATAGACATTTACAAGTGCCATAGTATCAACGAGCATTTCATTTAGCCTAGCTTTAAAAACATGCAGAGGAATGAGATCGCTCAGTTTCAATTCTTGCTGAAGATTGTTCCAAGCAAGTGGAGCTGCACATAAAAGCTGTCTTACCTAAGACAGTCCTTGCTCTTGGCACATGTAACAATACTACATCATGCCATCTCAGACAATAGCTGCTTGCAACTCTCTGTGTTATCAGAGAGCAGATATAATACGGGAGTTTACCCAACAAAGCTTTATAGATAAACGTGTACCAGTGACTGAGCCTCTTTACAGTAAGTGATGGCAGACCTGCATACAGGGTGCAGTGATGAGTAAGTGCTTTACAATCTGTGACTAATCTCAGTGCGCTGTGATAGGCGGCATCTAACTTGTTCAGGCAATGGGCAGCAGGTGCATTCATATAGATCAGATCACCATAGTCCAGCAAAGGTCAAAGGTCACAGAGCCTTTTCCTGGCCTCAAGTGAGAAACAGGACTTGTTCCTGTAAAAGAAACCTAGCCTAACCCTCAGCTTTTTAAGCAGGTTATTGACATGAAGTTTCAAAGTAAGACAATCATCAAGCCAGATACCCAGGTATTTGTAACAGGGAACCACTTTGAGCACTTGTCCTTGCATAGTAACAATATCCAAAACATGCTCTGTTGTCTTTTTAGCTTTTGAAAAGAGCATTACCTTGGTTTTATCAACATTTAAAAGAAGCTTTAGTTCAGAGAGCTGAGTCTGAATAATGTTAAAAACAGCCTGTAATTTAACACCAGCCTCCTGAATGGAGGGACCTGCACAGAACATCACGGTATCATCCGCATAGAAATGTAAAATAGCTTCATCCACATTTTCACCTAAACTGTTGATATGGAGAATAAAAGTGGACCTAAAACAGAACCTTGAGGAACACCATTAGCAATGTTTAACCACTCAGAAGACAGCCCATCAAAGTGAACACATTGGGACCTTTCAGAGAGGTACAAATAATAATAATAATTCATTTATTTTATAGGCGCCTTTCAAGGCTCTCAAGTTCGCCGTACAAACACATTAAAAACAAGATACACAATACATAACACCAGCATAAGAGACATAAACAAGACAATGCAGTATATCAATCAATCAAATAACAAAATCAATAAAAACAAGATGTGTGATGGATAATGATCAGGGTGGATATGCGAGTGTGAAGAGATATGTTTTGAGGTGTGATTTGAAAATGGGGAGAGAGTCAGTATTGCGGATGTCAGGTGGGAGGGAGTTCCAGAGGCGGGGTGCAGAGCGGCTGAAGGCTCTAGACCCCATGTTGCAAATGTATTATCTCTTCAATTTACACACGGCATCTATTGCATGTCTGTCCGTCCTGGGAGAGGGATCCCTCCTCTGTTGCTCTCCCTGAGGTTTCTCCCATGTTCCCTTTAAACTGTGGGTTTTCTCTGGAAGTGTTTCCTTGTACGATGTGAGGGTCTAAGGACAGAGGGTCTAAGGACAGAGGGTCTAAGGACAGAGGGTCTGAAGACAGAGGGTCTAAGGACAGAGGGTCTGAGGACAGAGGGTCTGAGGACAGAGGGTCTAAGGACAGAGGGTCTGAGGACAGAGGGTCTGAGGACAGAGGGTCTAAGGACAGAGGGTATAAGGACAGAGGGTATAAGGACAGAGGGTCTGAGGACAGAGGGTCTAAGGACAGAGGGTCTAAGAACAGAGGGTCTAAGGACAGAGGGTCTGAGGACAGAGGGTCTAAGGACAGAGGGTCTAAGGACAGAGGGTCTAAGGACAGAGGGTCTAAGGATAGAGGGTCTGAGGACAGAGGGTCTGAGGACAGAGGGTCTAAGGACAGAGGGTCTAAGGACAGATGGTCTAAGGACAAAGGGTCTGAGGACAGAGGGTCTGAGGACAGAGGTTCTGAGGACAGAGGGTCTAAGGACAGAGGGTCTAAGGACAGAGGGTCTAAGGACAGAGGGTCTAAGGACAGAGGGTCTGAGGACAGAGGGTCTGAGGACAGAGGGTCTGAGGACAGAGGGTCTAAGGACAGAGGGTCTAAGGACAGAGGGTCTAAGGACAGAGGGTGTAAGGACATAGGGTCTAAGGACAGAGGGTGTCGTATTGTCATACTGATATTCTGTACACACTGTGAAGTCCACTGAGACAAATGTAACATTTGTGATATTGGGCTATAAATAAACATTGATTGATTGATTGATAGATCCCATGGTGGTTAAACGGAAGGGGAGGCAGAGAGGTAGTGAGGTAGTTCACAAACCACCCACTGCATGGCTGGACATGCCGATACTGAGTAGCCTCTACTTTAAGATGCGATGATCGACGGTATCAAACGCTTTGGAAAGGTCAATACATAGAGCTGCACAACTCTGCTTATTATCTAAAATACTCTCCACATCATTCGGCACTTTCATTGTGGCAGTGATGGTGCTGTGTTGCTTTCTGAAGCCTGACTGATGTTTAGACAGGATGTCATTGTTACATAAAAACACCTTTACCTGTTCACTCACTAGGCGTTCAAGAACCTTCGCCAGAACTGACAACTTAGAGATGGGTCTATAATTGTTTAATAAGGTTGCCTCCCCTCCTTTCAGCAAAGGCAGGACATCGCTGACTTCCATACTTTTGGAATTGTGTTTTTGCTGAGGGAGAGGTTAAAAAGAGTAGTAAGAGGTGGAGCAATAAAATCTGCAGCTATCTTAAAAAAGAAAGGTTCTACGTTGTCCGGACCAGCCGGTTTCTTAGGATCTAACTTGGTTAAAGCTTCACGAACAACATCAACAGTAAAAGGAGTAAAACTGAAAGGGTTTTCCAACACACGTTGTTCTGAGTCACGGATTGGGAAACAGAATGAAACAGAGAGCAACAGGACACAAAATGCTCATTAAAGCAATTTAGCATAGTAGCCCTGTCCGACATAGTGCCAGATACTGTGGTAAGGCACGGAGGTAGCTCATTACAGATATCGCCGGTGGATATCGATTTTATGGCTTTCCAGAATTTTCTAGGGTTGTTCAGATTCTTTGTGGTTACTGACAGATAGTACTTTGATTTAGCACTTTTGAACATGTGACGTGAAGCTATTCCTTAGCTGCCTAAAATGCAGCCACTCTACCTCTGAGCCTGATCTCCTAGCCTTTGCCCAGGCCTTGTTTCTCTCATGAAGGAGACTAGACAGATCAGCAGAAAACCAAGGATT